GCAAAAGGTTCTATGACAAAGTACTTGTGAAGGAGATGCCCGTCCAATGCACTGTTCTCTCGGTGCATGCCTCAAGCCTGACCACTTGCATCCTGATGCAGGCAATGCAAGCTGTGACTGGTGAAGAGATCTGCTGGGTGACCTTTCCGAAAGATCAACCCATCAGAGGTCACGACTTGAGACGTGAGCTGCTTGAGAAGTTGCAAGAGACCATGCCAACCGAGTTCTCTGAATACAGCAAGCTGACGCTGGTGACTTCGAAGAGCCATGAGTGCATCAAAGACTTCCACACGGTGTTCAAGAAGACGCACCCCGAGGAGCGCAGTTGCAAGCGCCGCAGAACCAAGAAGCAGTGTGTTGGATGGTGGTATACCAGCTCGAAGTGTTTGCCATGCTCTACAGATGCCATTGCAGCTGTAGAACCTACAGCCGCCGATTCTTTATAGCCCATTAGGGGATGGTTCTAGATTAGATTCTAGATTCAAAGCTTGGCAACCGAAAGAGCCGGCTGGTAACAGCGATTTTGTTTTTGCTGAGGGAAGAAAGAGTTGTTTGTGAGCCTTGAAAGCTTTGTCCGTTTTGTCCTTGACCACGAAGCTTGCATGCGTGAAAGCACTCAGCCTTCCTGGAGAAAACAACGAGGTTATTCAGATTCATATTTTCTTTCAGGTCTCATGGTTGCGAGTTGGATTTGTATAAGAGTCGTTTGCTCATGGCATTCTTTGAATCTCCGAAGTTGAGCAGATTGAGATTTCATCATGTTGCTATTGCTCGTGGCTCCAATGTCGAAGTATATATATTTGGGTCTCCACGCAGATGTTCAATAGTTCTTTGACATCAGCTTCCAAGGGTTTGACGTAGTATACTGACATCCACATGAACCCTTTCATTTGATGCGTGATAGTTAGTCGTGACAAAAAACATGGTATAGTATATAAGTTTCAAATCATGTCATATGTGCACACATGCCATAATATATCTCTTTCCACCTGCGTACAGTGCATATCTTGTTTCACATGTGTCGGCTATAGCTGGGCATTCTGCAGCTCGCTATACAAATTATGGCCAGTTCCAGTTCGTCGCTTCACAAAGTGAGAGGCGGATACAAACAAGTGTCTCAGCGTGCTCTATCGGCTGTTTTGGAAGAAATCCATGAACATGGAATTCCCAAGGCAACAAGTCGGAGTTCAATCAAACGATCGAAGGAACTAGAAGTTGATGTCGATACCCCCTTTGGGAAACTTTTTGTCGGAAAAACCTTGAAGCTTGCGGAGAAGTTCAAAAGCCATCTATCGTGGGAGTTCCACTTCATCAACCCACTTGCCCTGTTGCATCACATGGCCATTAACTGCGCAGAGTTTTCGCTTCTTTTTGCAGAGTGCTTGGAAAAGCAGGCGCCTTCGCATGAGAGGCCCCTATCCATTGCCTGCTACGCAGACGAAGTGACACCAGGAAACCCCCTGGCTCACAGAAATTCACGCAAGTTTCAGGTGTCCTATTGGAGCATAGCAAACCTAGGGGCAGCTGCTTTGTCGTGCGAGCGCCTGTGGTTCCCACTGTTTGTGGCTCGCTCGGAGGTGGTCAAAAAACTTCCTGGCAGGATGGCGCAACTTGTAAAAGAAGCACTGTGCTGCTGTTCCAAGAGCCATGGGATCTCAGGGCTGGTCATGTTTTTACGGTTGGAGATCAGCGGAAGATGGTGTTCGCACACGTCAGGATCCATATTTCTGACGAAGCTGCGCTCAAAGAGACATTCGAGTTTCGTGGCGCGAGCGGGACTCGGCTTTGTCCACTATGCCTCAATCTAGTGGAACACAAAAAGGATCTATGTTCATATGACGCCACAGGAAGCCTTGTTCCTGCGACCTGCTTGGACAAAACATTGATCAAAAGGACATCGGCGAGATCCATTCGGACAGCTCTTGACCACTTGGATGCACAAAAAGGGGTCGTTTCGAAGACTGCCTTTGAGAAGCTTCAGCAATATTGCGGCTGGTCATACAACCCAGAGAGCCCTCTCAAATGTGAGAAATTGGGGATTGATTTGCCTGCAGTTCTGATGTTCGACTGGATGCATACTTATTGCGCCGGTGGTTTGTGGGGAATTGAGGCTCATCTTCTCATAGAAACATTGCAGAAGGCCAGGCTTTTGTCTCAGCAGCAAATACACGAAGCCGTGCAAGAATTTGTATGGCCTTGCGCAGTCCAAGGTAGAAGTGCCTCTGGTATAAGGCAGGTTTTTGGAAAGGAGCACACAAGCTCAATCAGCTCGTCGGCATCGGAGGCGCTGTCATTGTACAGCGTGCTAAGGTTCCTGGTGGCGCAGAAGCTTGAACTTGGAGGCTTGCCAGACGATCTTAGACAATGTGTCGACTCTTACTTGAAGTTATGCCGTGTACTAGATCTTCTCCAAGACACACGTCGAGGACGCACTCAGGCATCCGAATTGGAGACGGCGATCTTCAGCCACTTGGAAGCGTTCTTGGGGGCATATGGAGATAGCCGGTGGATCCCAAAGCACCACTATGCATCCCACCTTTCGGCCATGCTTTCGCAGTTTGGGCTGCTGTGCTCATGCTGGTGCCTCGAACGCAAGCGCAAAGAATTTAAACGCTGGGCTGATCTTGCTGAGTCACCCCTCCCTCATGGGAGAGGGGGGCCCTTCGAGATGCAATCGCCCCGCAGCTGCAAGATTTGAAGAAAAATGAAGTCGATCCTTTCCTGGTCAGAATTTGCAATCCTGAGGAACCAGGAAGAAACCTGAAAGCGCTTTTGCAGATGCAATTTGATGAGGAAGAGATCTCTGTGTCAGAAAAGGCCTGTTTTTTGCCAGGCGCAACGGCGCATAGACATGATGTGGTGCTTTTTGCTATGGACGAGGAGAAAGGAGTTGGGCAAATTCAAATGTTCGCCAAAATTGGGTTGGCGAACTACGCGTGCCTTCATTTGTGGGACCCTTGTGGTGTGAACAGATTCCACATGAGGTCAAAGCCTGTCATGGTGCCGCTTGATGCTATCATAGATACGTGTATATATACCATACGGCACGGCGACGAGGTTGACGTAGTCCCAACCACAACACGAATTTGAACGCGCACAGCCGTGCACATGCCGCTGCAGCCTGGATCGAACTTGTGGCATGCATCGAGATTGGCTGATTGAGAAAAGGAGTTTTGGCACGTTCCGATGCAGCTGCATATATGGTTGAAGAATTTTCATTTGGGATTTAGGCTGAGTGTGTGCGTGTCCTTCAAATCCATTCAATTGTCCGTGCATCCTGCCTCCCAATCCTCCAAGGCGAACATCCCAGCCTTCAAGGCGATTGCAAAACATGCTATGATTGAGAAGAATGCTGCAAATCTGTTGTTTTTTCTTGATTCGGTATGCTTGAAGAATGAAGACTTCCCTTGGTTGCTTTTGGTTTTATTCATATAGGTTGTTTTGTTTGAAGACGTTGTCGCAACAAGTTCCTTGCGTCCTGCATCAGGCTATTGCGCAACATACCAGCTGTCAAGAAATGGCGTGTGGTGAAGGGGTTTGCTGTATTGCACGCCGTCTCCTGGAGGGCTGTGCAGCTAGAATATGCAATTGTTGTTTTTGACATCAAGACAAAAGGCATGTTGACGTTGAGTTTTCGTGCGACGTTTTATCGTTTTTTGTGCATGTTGCTTGTCACACCTTCAGAATTTGCATGTTGGATGGAGTACTTGGAAACGATTAGCTCGGTAGCACGATGAAAATCATTATACCCAGCAGACAAAGTTTTGAAAATATATGGTAGCAAGAATCGCAGTGGTTGAAAACATTGTCCTTCCCCCAAAAAAAGAAACCAGTTCCCGCACGGGTCCGATCCTTTCGTTTCCCTTAAATACATTTTATAGCGATAGATTTGCCTATATCAAAAATATTGTTTTTTAATGGTGATCGCAGCCATAGGATCGCGTAATGAGTATTTTTTAATAGGTTTTTTCTCAAAGCGACAAATTTGTATCTTTGCCCGGACCATTTCATGTTTAGCATCTTGGCTCAAGTGGCAGGCCCGTCAGGTCTGCCAGGACTATTTAGCAAGTCTGCGTGGCTCACTTGACAAGTCTGCCTGGCCTACTTAGCAAGTTTGCCTGGTCTACTTAGCAGGTTTGCCCGGTCTACTTAGCAAGTCTGCCGGTCTACTTAGCAAGTCTGCCTGAACCGCTTAGCAAGTCTGTGTGGACCTCTTAGCAAGTCTGCCAAGTCAATTTGCTAACTTGGCCAGGTACACATAGTAACTTCTGTGCGGCCACGCGGCCTACTTAGACTAGGTCTACTTATCAACCCACTTGTGCAAGTGGGCCATGTCCACCACACAAGTTTGCCAAATAAGTTGTTATATGTTCCAACTTGCCCAACTAAATAGCAACAAAGCCGACCCTCCAAGCACAAAGGTTCTCCCTCACCTCTAATTTCTCCCTTAGCGGTGTCTCACCTATCTCCTTCTCTCTCTCTCTCTCTCTCTCATTCTCTCATAAGTCCCTCCAGCTTCCCTCTCATGGTTCTCTCATAAGTCCCTCAAGGTTCCCTCTCATAGTGGTTTCAATCAAAGACTTGCGTCACTTTGTAAACCATGTCAACAGCAGCGCGCTTCTCAAGTTGTAACCTTTCATCCTTGAATGTTTACTCCATTAGCTTTGTCAAGCACCTGCAGTTGATACAGAGTCAGTTCATTGCACCCTGATCAACAATGTCAACTTGTTCGTGCAAGCTACCAAAAACACAAGCACCTGGCACTGTGGAATGCGCAGTTAGAGTGTAGTACCTGAACACCCTACCTTAATTTAGCGGTTTCACCCACATGAAGCGGAAAGGTGGCCAACAGCAAAGGATCAAAGCTGCCCGATCAGAGGAAGAATCATCCGCTGCTGGCATCACTCAGCAAAGCGCTTTGGTCACCTTTCTTTTGACCTTGTTCACTTTGGCAGAGTTTTCGCCTCAACGCTGCCAGCACATTGCTGCTTTGGCGCTAGAAGACTTGGCACCACACCAACAAGCACATAGTCAGTGACCTGAAGACCTTGGCCAGCATTGGGAGCAATGGCGCGTATCCAAACAAGATGCACCAAGGTTTGATGCAAAGGACGAAGAACATCAGCAAGGTACCGCAGCCCTACCTTTTCAATGCAAAGTTCAAAAGCCCGGTGGGTGTGCAGAACCAATCCCTGCTTTTACCTCATGAGCTTTTCGCAACCATTGCTGCAGAGTACCAGACCACATGGTTCAAAAGCATTTGCCCAGACCAATCCAACCTTGAGACATTTTGGGAAACCGCTGTCAACCATCCGCTTCTTCACGACCATCCTGTATTGCATCGAGAGCACTGGCGGCGGTACGCCGTCCCCATCGCTCTCCACGGCGATGGGGTTCCTGTGGTCGGAATTGGAAAGGCCTGGACCAAACTCCTGAATGTGTTCTCATGGTTCAGCTTGGTGGGCGCAGGGGCCACACGGTCCAAGTTGTTTTACACCTACTCCTGTTGGGACAAGATCTGTGAAGGATCATTTCCAGATCGTAGCTTGGGTTCAGCCTTCCGAGTCCTCCAGTGGTCTTTCTATTGGCTTTGGCTTGGCCAATGGCCTGACCGAGACCACAAGGGAAAAATTATGCCTGAATTCATTGCAATTTTTGTGTGAGATAATGTAAAGACGTATAATACTATATGTTTGTTGGTTTGGTAGGTTGCTTTTCTCACTATTAGTTAACAATATATATATATATATAGAGTTAGTATTTGGTGTTTCAACGTTTTGTGTGGAACTTTTGACTTCAACCCTTCATTCAGGTATCCGCAGGGTTCAGCAGAATCCCTTCGTGCTGGGAAACCTTTAGCCCAAGGATTCTTTGGCCTGTTGTTCGCCTTGACTGGCGATCTCGATTACTTCGCCAATGTGCTCAACCTTCCCCACTTTGCAAAGAAACAAGGATGTTGCAGCGTTTGCCATTGCGATGAAGAAGGCGAAGTCAGCTGGACTGACTTTAACCCAAATGCTGCCTGGACCAATAGCCATTGGACACGAGCAGAGTGGCTTGCTTGGCCGCAACGAAGCAAATGCCAGCTGTTCAACTTACCCGGAGCTTTCTCGGCGTTGGTTGCGTTAGATTTTATGCGCTCGAAATACCTTGGCTCAGACCAACTCATGTATGGGTCTGTACTGACCTTGTTGGTGTTCCACATGTTGCCTGAGACTCCGGAGGCAAACCTGGCCCGAATATGGCAAGAGATTCGAGCTTGGTACAACCGGTACTTGAACAAACTCAGCATGTTCGTACGCCAGAGCGGCTTCCCCAAGTTACGCGGCAAAGCCGCAGAGATACGTTACCTAGCAGGACCCATGCTAGAAGTATGGCGCCGCCGCATGAACCAAGGAGTGCAACTACATCGTCGCGACTCTTCTTGTTTGGTGTGATTTTCTATGGGCGTTTGTGTGATATTTCATGTGATACTATACACAGGCCTTTGCAAAACATGTCCATATGCGTCTCACAGGAAACATTGCGCAGCTCAGGTATCGCGTTGATGCTCAAACTCAACTACAAGATTGAAACTCTCCTTACAGACTTTAAAGACCACTACGCCTTCCCCGAACCAGCGGCCAGTGAATTCAAGCAAAACGCTTTTGGCATGTATGCCTTGCAAATGCAGATTATGAAACACTTCTTGGATGAAGACCTTCAGCTTTTCTCTGTGACCAGCAAGAGCCACATGGTTTTGGAGTCTGTGCTGTTGTGTGACAAGGTGAGTCCTAGACTTCTATGGACATTTGCAGGGGAAGGCCAAATGGCCAAGACCCAATTATTAGCCAAAGCGTGCGTCAAAGGAAATTCGCCAGCTCAAGCAACCATGAAAATGTCCCAACACTACAGGTTGGGGCTACACTTTGTATTCAAGGACCATGAGCTCCGCAGAGCTTAGGGGACCCTGTGTGTGTATCGCCCTTGATGGACTGCGTGCTCAGGACTTCCAGTGAAAAAAACTGTGTGCATGCGTGCGCTGAAAATGTGTCATACACATGACAATGGAAAAGAGTCGGCGCAAGAGTTTCATACTTGACCACTGTGAGAGACAACGAGTGAAAACCACCTGGAGAGAGTGCCACCATGAGAGAGTGCTCTATACAAAAAGACTTTTTTTCATGTGTGAGAGAGAGAGAGGGCCTGACTAGTCTCAGAAGAACAAAGATGTATTGTGTGGTCCCTTTCTTCACTATAAACGGTTGATCTTTAAGTCAACTTTTGTATATTCTTGCAACTGTGTGTCCAAAGCCAAGACAGCGCCCTGCAACCCTGCACATGGGCTCACAAAAGTTGTGCAAACATGGAGCTCACAAAGCTTTCAATTTCCAAACATATCGCTTCGAAGTTTCACCGGGGGCACTTCGAAGTTTGTTCGAAGTTTCCATATCTAAATTTAAATTTGTTTTAGCTAAATTTACAGAAAATAGTTAAATTTTCAGAAAATTGTTAAATCATATTTTAGCTAAATTTGTAGAAAATAGTTAAAAGTTATATTTAACTATTTTCTAAAAAAATTAGCTAAAACATAACTTAACTATTTTCTAGGAATTCTACGTTTTAGTTAAAATTTTAGGAATTATCTAAAAAGTATTTTTTTAACTAAGCCGGTCTATTGGGTTAGACATCTTAGACGTGGGTGAGGCACATGCCACCCTAGTCGCCGATTTCATGATGCGCTGCTTTTCAGAGGAAGGGCTTCAGCGGCGGATGCACAATCAGGAACTTTCCAGCCTCACAGACTTTGAAGATTTGTGTCATCGCTCAGAGGACTTGGTGGTTCACTTGGTGGACAAAGTCAATGCGCTCAGGGTGGATTGACTTTCGCAGGCTTGAAGTGCGGCTATTCAAACTGCACTTCGATGACTCCCGCCAAGGGGTGATAGCAGCAGAACTCTTCGAGCCCGAAGTGTATGCAGCGCGGAGCTTGGTCGATCCCATCTTCGGCCTCCCACGCGGCACAGTGATTGTTTCACCAGGGCTGCCGGGAAGAGAGCTCCAGCCCACCCAATCCAGACTGAGTGCTCTCGACTTGATATGTTTCCTACATCGAGGATGGCCTCGAGGGCAACATTACGACCACAATTAATGTCGACTTGCCAGATGATCTGAGACCTCCCGAGATCGGGAAGGTTGACTACTACCGCAAATGTGCGGAATGGCTGGCCACTGCCATGGAATGCCCAGTTTATGTCGCCTGCTTGATGCAAGGGCAGACCACAGCATTTGTCATGGAGATCAAGGCTCATGTGGTGTCCCCCGAGGCAACTCCAGCTTATTGCAGATGTGACAACCTTTGCCGTGGTTCAAAAAACCCGAATCTTGCAGAGATCTGACATCATACACGTACATGACGAATCAAGTGCTTCATGCAGCTTTTACGCCTACTGATGTTGCTAGAGTGGGTAGCGCCCCCCACACTCCGCACCTTGCTCCAGTTCCCAGCGATACAGATGAATCAACGGACATCGAAGCGATGATCCAAGCGGCTCAAAACGCTCGTGCATTGGATGAGACAAGCACTTGTATTGACTGGAGTCCAAGCACTCAAGAGATGACGCCTGCGGAAGCCATGGCAGCTCATCAATTGCGCTACTCTGGTCTTTGCATTGAAGCGTTCACAAAAGCCGCCGTGGTGCCTTCGATCTCAGAGTCTGCATCTCTGGCTTGCATCCTCCAATACACTGTTTTGGAAAGGTTTTACATGAGGCTTGCACCTGCTCAACGAAGCAAAATGGCGCTGCTCTTCCGGCACCTTGGAGCCCTTTTGCAGAAGGGGTTTGCAGTGCAGCTGATTGAACTGGCAGGTGCTACTTCCAACAGGCACCGCTGCATCACATTGATGGCCAATCCTTGGAATGGCCAATTTATGAACGCACTACTCACCCCTGGTCATGTGACAGTCTTACAACGGCGTCACATTCCTGCACTCCGCTATCTAGTCCTTCCGGAGGGCGCTTCAGTGGTCTTGTCCAGGAAGATGGTGCTCATGCCTCTTGGAAACTTGGATCAGAACTCTTTGAGAATGCCGGAGTGTCAAGGAAGTCCTGACCGTGCAAGATGCATTGATTCACGGAGTTGGAGCCCCAGTTTCGGCACATCACCCGTGGAGGCTATGTGACAGTGCAAGTGCAAGGACCGTTTCCGCAAAATCATACAGGCCAGACAATACGACATATGCCCAGCATCCACTCAGCCTTGGCACCGCCTTACGGGCTGTGCTTGCTGCTTTGCAGCTGAAGCTCTTGCTGATGAGTGGCGGACCAACATCATGCTCATTTGTACTGCCAACAATTCAAACGGGGAAGCGACTTTGTATCGCGCAGGACGAAGTGATGAGGTTATCTGCCTACTTCGGACAGAGAGTCACCTGCAAGTCGTTCGGCTTTACCAGCCAAGACCCCTGAATGACCAGAAAGAACTCCAAATCAGAATGACGCCAGGCTTTGCCTGGCGAGCCGAACCCCCTGCAGTTGCTCCTCAACTCAAGAAGCGCAAAGCGCGATGTGAGCTTGGAAAAGAGAGCACACTCATTCTTGCTTTCTTCAATGAACCCTGAACTTGATTACACATTTGGGAGCCTTTTATGAATTCATTTGTCATGGATCAAGCCCGCAGCCTTTTGAAGAGTGTGCAGTGGTCTTAGAACATTATATGTGACACGTGTGTCAAAGAATCTTTTCAAAGCTCGCATTCAGTTTCATTGAATTTTGCAAGATGATTAATTACAACTTTTAAGCGCTTTTGTCGAATTTCAAAGACGAAAGTCCTGCAATATGCCATTGACAGATGCGTGAGTGAATGATCTGAATGCGTCGGAGGTACTTAACTCATAAAAGAAAAGATCGTCTCGGCCTCAGAACAGCTTTCTCATCCGTCTTTAAAAATCGAATATATGCAGACTATGTTCGTCCGGTTTGTGGTTTAAGGCACAATCACCACTCTCCCGGGAAAGGGGAAAAAAAATCTTGGTTCGTCTTGGTGTTTTTGGTGTTTGGTTTCTTTGTTTGGGCTCTGTTCTTTCCCTGGCTCGTATCTTCTCAGCAATCTTATTTAATTCAATCAAGGTGACTTGTGCCTCTCGGCACACACAGCGCCCGCACCCATGCAAAAAAAAAGCAATGAACGCCAGCTAGTGTTGCAACTTCTGCTGACAACCCTTTCTGGAGAAGAACTACAAGTCATCATCGATCTCCAAGAGTTTGAGCGTCTCGACGAGTTCGAAACTGCTGTCCTTGAGCAGCTCCCGACCATTGGAGGACACAGCACCTTTGGGAGCGAGCTTGCCTCAGTATGGGCCCGGGACCTTCGGCGAAGGGGGGCTTCGCCGAAGACGAAGGGGGGGTACCCTTCGGCGAAGCCCCCCCC